TCAACCGCTATGACTCCCGAATTTCGCAACTCAGTCGGATTCAAGAGATTCAGAAAAGTATAGATGGTTTCGAGGGTAATCCTATTGGGAAAACGTGCTCGGAACTTATAAAACGTGAGCAAAACGAACAATATTTTTTGATTTTGTGTCCACTTGAAAAAAACTATTCGTAATTTTCATCTCTTCTTTTCTACAGAGGGAGACCTACAAATGGTTCGACCATCATTGACCTTCTCACCGGAGATTATGAGGAAAGGGCGATGGAAAACCGAGAGGTAAGTGTTCTTTTTTCTCGGTTCCAGTCGAAACCAGTTTCACTCCAGACATCTTTTTCTTTTCGACCATCTGTTGGTGCTCTGTAAGAAGCATAAACAGTACAAGTTCAAAGAGCGCATTACGGTAAACCTTATGGACATTGTTGATATGGAGGACAGCGAAGGTGCACATAAAGTTTTTCGAAGTGATGCATTAGTAAGGACCCTTTATTTTAGTGTTGCCACATTCATTTCGGTTGGAATCTCGTGAGAGACCAGACTTGACGCGGTCATTTGTAATGATTTGTAAATCAGCAGAGGAGAAAATGGACTGGATGTCAGCTTTGGTAACGGTGAATACGAGAAGGTATTTACATGACTTGCTTATTTCCTTGTTTTTTCTTTATCTTTGTACTATCTACACACTATATGGTGTGTCTCTTTTTTAGACTGCTAAATTACTCATTCTTTTTTTTGGAAAAATTAGCTTTTTCTGAGGTCATGCAGAACCCTAGAAATGATCTATATCTGAGCGAATCATTTTGAAGGTTCACAAATTTTTCCCTGTAGAGTGCTACCGTTCTTCATGAATCTTGTTTCCCAGTATGCTTTTGGGAGCTTTTTCTGGGGAAAAAAGGTTTTTTTGGTCAAAACTGCGATGAAAATTTGGTCAAAACTGCTATAAAAAACAGTTGACATTCACTGTGACCATCTGCAGCTGAGGTTGTAATTTTCTAGTTTACTCGATCGTATCCTCGACGGCTATGAAAAAGAGGAGGCCAAACGTATCCCTTTAGTAACGCCAGGACCTGATCAGTACAGGTGAGTTTTTTCATTTTTTTCCATTCACTCTCACGGGAGGGAGTTGATTTAAAAACAGTTGTTCTAAAATTTAGAGCATAAGAAATTTCGACAATAATTGGTAACTTTTTTTACAGGTTTGCTGAGCCTGACTCAGAAGAAAACATTTCGTTTGAAGACTACACATCGAGTAGTGGAATTCCCGTTGTGAAGAATGGAACGGTGCTCAAACTTGTGGAACGATTGACTTACCATCAGTGAGTCTTTTCGGTTGATAGTTTGGTCTTTAAAAGCTTAGCTTTTTCAGGTACACCGATAACAAATATGTGCAAACATTTTTGATTTCGTATCGGTCATTTTGCACTCCAAGTGAACTTCTGGATATGCTAATCGAAAGATTCAATGTCCCAATTCCCAACAAGCTGCTGCAAAACCAGGAAATGAGGTAGTGTCAATCTGTCAATTGTTAATTAGCTTATATATTTTGTTGTTGCCAGAGGTGGACCCCTGGCTGGTCGTTACGATACTGTACAATCACATGGTCTCTCTGGTCCGATGATGTTCTCCCCATATAGTGAGCAAAGCTACCAGCGATTTCGTAAGGAGTATGAACGACCGATACAGAGAAGGTACGAACAATTATTGAACCATATTTATTCATTTATTCCACTTATTTAGCACCTCTGTTTACGTATTCTTTCGAAATCATATTTCAAGAATTTTTTCATTGTTCTACTGTTTTTTTTTTTGATTTGAAAATTTTCTTGAGGAATACTACACTTGTAGTTTCCAGGGTTTTGAGCGTCTTGCACCAATGGGTCAAAAATCACTGGTACGACTTCGAGAATGATCCCACGCTTCTGGAATGCCTCGAACGCTTCCTGCAAACGTCTTGTGATCAGAAGCTCACGAATCAGCACAAGAAGTTCTGCAAAAATATCATTGTAAGTGATTGCGTAGTGTGAATCTGCTATTTTTCAGCGTTTGCTTATTTTTAACTTTCCAGACTCTCATAGAAAAGAAGCAGAAGCAACAGGACTCTGAAGGTCATGTGAATACAGCTTTTGACTTTGAGGAAGCGAATGCATTTCAGCCGAAGAAACCGGAGGTATGTTATAGGCACCGTCCACCCAAATCAAGGTTGATGAGATTT